ATATATAAACTTGATGAGTAGTATTTCGAGCCGAATACGAACGAACACATCTTTGTTCGTGTTCGGCTCGTTTACTTATCGAACGAAATTAACGAGCCGAACACGAGCTTCTTAACAAGTCGAACACGAGCTGTTCGCGAACAACGAGCTATTTTGCTAGCCCTAATAATTACGCGGTATGCATGTAAATTTACGTTCAATAATTAGAAAGTGGGTCATAATAATTGGGCCATCTAATTATCACCCAAAATGCACCTACTTTTATTTTTGTTGTTGTTGGGGACTTTTTCAAACTTTTTCCACCACAAAATAGGAAAGAAGTCTAACAAATCACAAGTCAAATTTATGTTCAAATCAGGAAGGAATGTGACCTTGGTGAATTTTTACATAAATATAAAATTGCATTTGATAATCACAAATTAAGTCAAATATAAATTTGCTATTTGTCTAAGAAAATAATTTTATATTCTTATTAGCTCTACTTATTTACAAGGGCATTTACGTAACAATCATATGTATTTATTTACAAATCTAACTCCTAAATTTTACTTTTTATGTATTTATGCAATATTTTTATAATGAATTTTTCGTGTTTTATTTGGCCACTAGACATTGTGCAATCTTGATTGAAGTGGAGCGAGCAAGCAAAGCGTAGCGGAAGCATCTGTCCAATTGGGAGAGTTTCGTTAAGTGAGTTGGGGTTGCGGGAGCAATGCCCCGACAGTACGATACAACATAGTTTTGTAATTATAACAAGGGTTATATATATATATATATAGTCTTTGTAACCCTAAGGGGATTAACTGCTTCAGGAAATAAATTAGCAAAGGCTCTGAAAATCATAATAATCAAAATGAGTTGAAGACATTTCCTCAAATTTGAGTTTCGATGTCTTCATTCATATCTTAAATGGATGGAGGCTTTTTCTTGATAAAATAAATAGTGAAAAGATTTTACCTTTCACATAAATTTCTAAACAAGTGTTCGCATAAATAAAGTAATCATTTCAAAACCCCGCAGTATTTCAAAATGGAGATTAAAAAGTCGACTCAATTTTCACCGGAAACATAGTCTCCACCGGTCGGTGAGTCTGAGGAGCAAGATGGCAATGAACCACATGCACCACGACCAGAAGATGTGGTTTTGCTTTCTGGTATGAGTGATTCTATTGACTTTGATCTTCCAACTTGTCTTTTATCTATTTGGTACACAATTAATATGTTTCGCATATCTCACACCTCAACTTTCATATTTACATATATAACATTTTATGCATGAAAAAATATATTTGACTTTTAAATAGTGATAGTAGTATTATGTTTTATGTGATTTTAAGGAAATGAGTGCTATTTGTGTAAATATGAATGTGTAGGTGTGAGATATGTAAATACATAAGAATTGTGTGCTATCAATGTAAATGTCCCTAAAAAAAAATCAATTTTCCCCTACCATAATAACGAACTTAACTACATCTATATTTCACATGGTAGATTTTGGTCCCATTTGCCACATGCCAACTATTGCTTAGATCTGCAGCAAATGAGCCTTATCATTTAAGGATAAGTTTAACCAGTTTATCACCATTAGTTGATTTCTATGCGTAGGTTGCTCCATTGTTGAAGTAGCCTCTTTGCTAAAGCAGGATAATTTACATGAATCAACCTCTAGGCAAGTTTCACAGTTTTGGGAGCTTCATGCATTGTTTATCTGTTGGATTGTTTTTTGATGCATATGCTTTGTTATGGTTGTATTTTTCTTGTTCGAATAAATAGTTTTGTTCGAGGTAAATTTGTTTGCTTGCACCCGAGGGAGGTTAGATTATACGCTCTTTTATGATTTCAGATTTATTATTTTTAGTCTTATTTGTTTCATTTTAATTTGCGCTTTTAATGTTGTTAGTCTAATTTGTTTCATTTTAAATTGTAGGAAGGGCTCGCGGTTCATCATTAAGACGTGCAAAAGAAGTAATTTCCAGAGGTTAAGTAACAAAGCACATGAAACACGGTCTACTCCATTGAATATGAGTTAGAGGAACAAGATTATAGCGCCAACATGTGCCACAAACAGAAGATATATGATGTAATCTTATCAATTATAGTTGCTTAGTTTATATAAGTTATATTCTAATTATCTTTTTTTATTTTATTTTATCTATCTTTTTTAAGATGAACACAAGTTCATATTGACATTAATGATAACAGAATGCTCCACGAC